AAAAAAAAAAAAAAAAAAAAAAAAAAAAAGAGCATCAGCAATGTAGGTTACCCCAAAAAGCCGCCTCCTCTAAAGAGACAGACTGTCCCTCCCATGGGGCTTATTGTACCAGTCCCAGACAGTTACCCTTTCTCTTGAGAGCTACTGGAGAAACACAGATTCTTACCATCCAGTTCTGTTGCCATATTCCTTATTGGGCACCCACTGTTGAGGAAAATAGCCCAGACCACATAGATTCTTGGCTGGCTGTAGGCATGGCCGTCAGCAGCAAGGCTGCTCACTGGTGGGGCCCGTCACCATCTCTGGGGACATACATACATTCTTAGATAAACACTCTTTAGGCCTCCTTTTGCTACATGTCGCATGAGTTACTGAAATGATGCAGAGAAGTGGGCATCTGGACCTGTATCTGAATCAATGTCTAACTTTTAAAGAAAAGGGAATCAGGTCTGGACTTGACTGACTAGATCATTTTGTAGTTACCTGAAAAAGAAAAGTGTGGAGCTGTTAAAAAATCTCTTGGCCGGGCACGGTGGTTCACACCTGTAATCCCAGCCCTCTGGGATTGGGCGGGTCGGTCATTTGAGTACAGGAGTTCGAAAGCAGCCTGGGCAACATGGCGAAACCCTGTCTATATAAAAAGATTTTAAAAATTAGCCTGTGTGGTAGTGCATGCCTGTAGTCCCAGCTACTCAGGAGGCTGAGGTGGGAGGTTCACCTGAGCCAGGAGGTCAAGGCTGTAGTGGGCCGTGATTGTGCCCCTGCACTCCATTCTGGGTGACAGAGTGGTACCCTGTCTCAAAAAAAGTCTCTCACTTTTGTTTAGTTAAAAGCACTAGGAAGTAATGTGAAAGTTTGCCATTTTCAGTCATTTAAATCTTTCTCCACATGTGAGGTGTTATTACACACCTATAACACAAGGGTTGCAGTTTCCAAAAATTAGAGCAGTGACTTAAATTACTTTATTGATTGATGATTTCCTGAGAACTCCCCACTGCTGAACCAAGCTCTTGGCTTTAGGTCTGATCTAGCATTATCTTATCACTGTCCCCAAAGTCCCGGATTATCTCTGAGGTGTCTTGTTTTGAGACCATTTCCGTGCCGATAAGCTCTCTGATTTATTATTATTATTATTTTTCAGATAGAGTTTCCCTCTTGTTGCCC